GCCCATCCCAGGCTCTCCTCATCCACCTGCCAGGATTGACTGCATCCTTTGTGGGGCCCAGTGTAGGAGGATGAGGTGGACAGTTTGTTCTAGGTTGTGAAGAATTTCGAAACAGTGACATGAGAGTATTAAACCAAGTGTGGGGCTCTTTGGGACTGCCCAGGCTATCCCCACCTGAGGCCGGCCCCACACCCACCTCCTCGATTCCCTGCCTTGGACCATGTGTTTTTCCATCTAGAAGGGTCTGTGACATTGAGGAGCATTAAGGGAGCCATGCCTGGCTACAGGGACCACCTGGAAGGTATTTAAGTGCCTTTAAGTCTGTTTCTGTTCAGAATCATTGCCCGACCCACAAATCCCTTTTGGCAGCAATCGACTGGGCCCCACACAGATCCCGTAGGGCTGGCCTCTGTGAGATGAGAGCAGGCAGGACCCATTCTCTCCTGCACATATGATCTGCATGGTGGGAACTGCACCAGCTTGGGGGTGGGGAGCTCTGGGAGCTCAGGCCGTCCTACCTCCCAGCCCCTGTACCACCGAAAGTGTGTGCAGTCAAGGAGGCCCTCTCAGAGGGGAGCCCAATTCTGGAGCTGCTCTTGCCTACTCTGCAGGTGAGGTGTTGTGGGTAGAGCTTCTCCCCCTGATAAGGCCTGTTTTCTGCAGCCTTCAGATGTCACCAGAGTCACCCCAGAAGTCCCTTTCCACAGTGGCTCCAAGAACAGCCAAGTTCTTGGTTCTGCTCTGCTGACCGGGGCCAGTGATGTGTGTCCTGAGAGAAAGCGCCAGCGGTTGCCTCTCAGGATGGGAGCTCTGTTGACATGTGATGTCCCCTCGCTGGTCTGCTGGGGGCAAGAACGCAGACCTCACCTCTCCGTGGAGGGGTCAGGCACGGCAAGGAAAGCTGGTGGCCTGGTGACACGGGCTCTGGAAGACACGGGCTGCCCAGGTCTGCGTCCCGTCTCGTGGACCTGGCAACACTGCCTGCAGCTCTGGGAGTTGAGGCCCAGCGGCAGCCTCTCAAGATCATAGTGTCGGTGCGTGCCCTTCTGCCGGGGCGCGGAGGAGGTTGGCGGCTCCCGTCGTGGCCGAGCCCCCTCCTTAGCTGGTGTCACTGTCACAAGCCCAGGTTGCCCCTCACCACCACCCTGTGAGGCCCCTGGGAGTTAGTCTCTCCTCCTTTTTTGTGCCTGGAAATGCCAACCTGCCCAGAGAGATGGTGAATCATCAGAACCACCTTCCCCTCGAGCTGTTTTGCTGACTTGCAGGGAGCTTCCGTCACTGCTCAGGGCTTTGTGGGGGAACAAAGTGTGTCCCAGCAGACAGGGCTACCTCAGTAGGGCCACAGGTCTGGTCCGCTGGGGATCAAGAGCACGGCAACTGTAGGGACCCCGGGAGATGAGTGGGCTGGTGGAGGGGGTGCCTTTCTAGAAAGCCTGCCTTGCAGATTCCAGTTCTCTTGCCGTCTGTGTGTGTGCCCTTGAGCAAACAAATGGCTTTCTTTTTGCCTCAGTGTCTGTTTGCAGAACAGTCGTCCTGACAGTGCCTCTGTCTGGGGCTGTGGAGAGGATGGAAGGTCGGTGGTTGGGGGGCGGGGGGGATTGGCCTTGTGCTGTGCTGCCTCCCAGAGCCACCTGGCCGGGCTGTGCTCACCCCACACTCCACCTTTGAGAGGCGACAGTAGGCCGCAGGAGGCCAGCCCTTTCCGAAGGTTGTGGGGGCAGGACATGGTCAGGGGAAAAGAGAGTCATTCTTCCTGCCCATAGGGCAGGGGGTGTCATCTTCCTTAGCAGCCCCCCGGCTCAGTCCCTCCCCTAGAACTCTTACTGGATGCTCTGACTTGTGGAACCTTCATGGAATGTTGGAGGACAAGCTCAGCTGCTGCTCATGACTTGGGCCCTTGGTGGAGCGGCAGTGCTGGGCCTGGCTCCAATCCCCCTTCTGAGCCTGCCTTCCGGAGCTTGGCCATGCTGGGATGCTGCCACGGGCTGGAAGCCCCTGTAGTATCAGATTTCCGTGGGGGAGACTGGATGGCCCCACTGAGGAGAGCGAGCCAGGAGTTACCCTGTCGGGCAGCCCAGAGCAGGCCCTGGCACAGTCCTGGTGGGAGGTGGCTGCCAAGCCCCATTGGGGACTCCCCGACCGCTGTTCCCTCCCTGTGGGTGTCTCCTCACCCACACACAGGGAGCATTCCTGTCTCTGTCTGAGTCATGACTTGATGAGTTGGCAGGGTCCTCTTTGGGGCTCCACACTGTGGGGAGCATGAGCGCCTCTGCTGGGACATGCGAGCCTCTGGAATGGATCCCCGGTGTGCAGGGACCCTCAGAGGACCGGTCAGCCATGGCCCATCACTCCGCTCAGCCCTGCGCTGGTGCCAGCAGCTGCCCTTGACCAGGAGCAGCAAGCGGCCAGCCTTGGGAGCTGCTTCCTGTCCCTGGGAGCATCAGCTGCTAAATCCCATGGAGGTCAGCCCTGAGTGCATCTGAGAACCTCCATCCTCCTGGGCCAGCAGGGAGGGTGTGGGGAGAGAAGGGTGGCATTCAGGCAGCTCCTGCCCATGTCTGCCACCGAGACCCCAGGGTGGGGGAGGCGTGGTCTTGGCACTCCCTCCCCAGAATTCCCCAGTGCGACTTCATGGAGCTCCTTTAGCTGTCTTCCCCTTGAATGGCAGCCAGTGTGACACTTTGGAGTGGATCCTTCCCCCAGGAAACTTCAGCTCAGAGCACAAGGCAGGCTCCTTAGAAGTCCTGGCCTGCCCCTCCCTGAACTGCAACCACAGGGGTTAGGTAATTCTAGGTCCACTCCAGGGACACCTCTTTCGGGAGGGCTTTCCAATGTGGTCTTTCAGGCCACATTGTAAGTGTGGTCATTCCCCCACCCCTGCTTCCTTCCATCTCTGTGTTGAGTGTGGGGTGCACAGGGCCAGGCCTTTGGCTCTGACCAGAGCATCTCTCTCCCTCCCTTCTCTCTCTCTCTCTTCCCCGCTTCCTTCTTTCCCTCTCCGTCCCTCTCCCCCTTGCTCCTTCCCAGCCCAAGCCTGTCTGGCAGGGAGCAGACCAGGCCAAGTGCATGCTTCCCCCCAGGTTGGCCCTCACAGTCTGGCTGCCTTTTGAAGTCATCCTGAAAAACTTCCCCCAGTGTGGCAGCCTTCCTGTTCACGGACTATTTCACTGCTTTGGGATCTGGAAAGGGCTCCCCTGTGGTCTTACCGGACTCCAGTTGGCAATGGATTGTTTCCCATACCCAGATGTGTCCTTGAGGACCCAGGTGGTACCAGGGGTATCCTCTGCTGGTGCAGAATGGCCTGGCTGCTCACCCCAACAGCTGTGAGCAGAGTGGGGTGTAGGTGGAAACAAGCTGATTGAAAAGAGAAATTGGCTCAATGTGAGTGAATACGTGGGCATTTATAATGTTTGTGTTGTGTGTTGGTTACTGCTATAGGGTATTTGCAGGCTTTTAGTGGTTTTTCCAGCATCGTTTGCCTAATTTTCCACCTTCTTGAAAATTCTTACTGTTTTTTAAAACTTTTTATCATGAAAAATGTTGAACTTACACAAAGTCAGCAGAGTAATGAATGGGTTTTCCCAGCGAGACCGTGGTCCACATCCTCTTCCTGGTGGCAACCAGAGCTCTAGCCACAGTCCCTTGGTGATCAGGTTTTCAGGGGAAATTTACAGAAGTTGAAATACACAGCTCTTATCTGTACATTGGCAGCAAATGTATGTGCACATGTGACCCACACTGCTATCCGGATGTGGAAACTTTACATCCCCCAGAACATTCCTTCCTGCCCTTCCTAGTCTTTGGCCTCCTCCCACCCCTCACAGGTCTCCAGCCTGCTCTGTTAACCTAAAATTAGTCTGGGATCGTGCCATGTGTGTCCTTTTTTGCTTGGCTTCTTCTGCTTCGCACGATGTCTGTGAGATCTTTCCCAGTTGTTGTGTGAATCAACTGTTCGTCCCTTTTTATTGCTGCATAGGATTTCGTGGTGTGAAAACCACCCTTTGCCTGTCCACTCACCCGCTGAAGGGCATCTGGGCTGTTTCCAATTCTCGGCTGTGTGAATAACCTTGCCGTTTGTGAATGAGTCATTTGATGGACATACGTATTCCTCTCTCGGATAAATTCAGTAGGAATTCTGGGTCAAGTTGTAGGAGTACGTTTAACTTTAAAGGTGTGTTTCTCTTATAAAGAGGCCTGGTTCGGGGTGCCTGGGTGGCTCAGTTGGCTAAGTATCCAACTCTTGGTTTTGGTTCAGGTCATTTTCTCGTGGGTCAAGAGATCAAGCCCCAGTACAGGCTCCTCGCTCAGCTGGGAATCTGCCAGAAGATTCTCTCCCTCTGCCCCTCCCCACAACATGCATGCCTCACGATCTCTCTCTCACACACTCTCTCTCAAATAAATAAATAAATCTTAGGAATGAATAAATCCGTAAAGTGCCCTGGTTCATTTTTGGTGACTCTTGCCTGCCCTGCTTATCTGGCATCGTCGTGCGCACTTGAAAGCTGGGGATCCAGGCGATTTTCTGAGAAACCTGAGTCACTCCCAGCTCTGTGGGGCTCACATACTTGTCAAACTTGGGTGATTGGGAACGATTTTGCAGATGTTTTGTAGTATGTCCTCCTCTCTTTTCTTTTTCTGTTTTAAGGCAGTCCATTTGCAGCTTGTGTTTCGCCCCACAGACAGGTGTGTGTGTTGACGTTACTGGGACTACTGGTGAGAAAGTCCGAGTAAGATCAGAATCTTATTATTTATTTGGGTGTGAAAGTCTTGAATGCCATGTATCATGGAGGGTGAGATCTCTCTCTTGTAATTTCAGAACAAGGAACTTGCCTATAGTTTTGCACTATTAATTATGCTAGGTTGGAATCTTAAGTTAGTAAATGTGGGAGGATCCAAAGTGTGAAATAAAGCGGCTGGAGAGTGCTGGTCTGCCTGGAAGACCTGCTCCAGACACCCATCGGCATTCCTCCCTCCCTCACACGCCTCCCTGCTTCCTGCAGCTCCCCTGGGACTCTACTTCTCCAGGGACGCTTACTGGGAGAAACTGTATGTGGACCAGCCAGCTGGCATGCCCCTGCTCTATGTCCACGCCCTGCGGGACGCCCCCGAGGAGGTGCCCAGCTTCCGCCTGGGCCAGCACCTCTACGGCATCGCCTACCGTGCGAGGCTGCAGGAGAACGACTGGATCCGCATCGAGGAGGACACGGGCCTTCTCTACCTTAACCGGAGCCTGGACCACAGCGCCTGGGAGAGGCTCAGCATCCGCAGTAAGGGAGCCGCCTGACCCCCCTCCCCCACCCTGTCTTCTCCTCCCACAGCCCACGTCACACCCACACCGGAGGCCCAAGAGGGCGCTTCCTGTGCGATCCCTGTGGCGTAAGGGTGAAGGGTGAAGTGAGGCTGGCCTGCCTCTGTGTCCAGCCTGGCCAGGACACCAGGATGAGTTTGGGGGCTGCTGATGACCCTTGGGCCTTCTGAGTCTGTTGGGATTTGGGAGAACCCCTGGAAAGGATCGGGTGCTCTCTCCAGGCTGGGCTTAGAAGCCTTTTCCATTTGGGAGAATAGGACTTAGGGTTACAAGAGAGGAGTTAAGTGGGGGGGCTAGAAAAATTGAAAAGTTTTGGTTGAGTGAGTGATCTGGAACTTTCTGGAGAAGTAGCAGTTCCATGGAAAGCTGGTCTTCCCATCAGCATCAAGCTGCCCGTGGTACCCAGTGGGGACTCAGGCCTGGTGCCAGGGAGGAAAGTGGTATAGAAGGAAGACCTGGCCAGCCTCCTCAGAGCAGGGGTCAGAGCAGGGAGAAAACCACATGTGACCCTGATACTGGGAAGAGGAGCCGCTTTCTGCCTTATGGCACAAAATAGTGATCACACACACAATAGCCCCCCACCTCCAACCATCTCCTTCAAAGACATGGCCTCACCGCACACTCACACCAGCCCTGAACCCCCTCATGTGGGCGAGAGGCCCATGGCATGCCTATGAATACAGAATGGGCAGCACTGCCCAGGAGGGCAGAATGACTGTGCCCCTGTCAGCCAAGGAAAGCCAAGGTCACATGACAGCCTGCCACAAGGGAACCCCAGTTCTGGAGGTGGCATCTCAGATGGGTCTTGGTTCTGCTTGTACTTAGTTGCTGCTGTCTCCATCCCAGTCCCCCATGGGGACCTTGAACTATGTTTCCGGGGGTAAAGGCTGAGTGGAGTTTGTCGAGGGTCCATATTTCCTAGGGGGCTTGTTCTGTTCATCATGCACCTGTTAAGTCTAGTCAGGAGAAAAACCACATAGTAACTGGAACAGGGCAGTTTCATATAGAAAATGATTAGCTACAACCGGGGATTGAAGCACAAAGGGAGGGCTAGGAAGAAGCAGAATTCTGAAGAATTCTGGGAAGGGCAAATGCGGGGTAGCAGCCACTACACTAGGGCTGAGGGAGAGGGCCCAGGAAGAGTACCCATCACTCTTGAAGAGAACCAGACCTTGATGGAGAAATTCTCTCTAATGGAGTTTGCTGGAAATCCCCCCTCCAGGCACTCCGGAAGTCTGGCCGTGGGTGTGTCTCCACAGAGGCGTTCCATGAGGACGGCCCCTGGAGGGCTGGGGAGCCCCCACATGCATAGGAGCCAGCCAGGGAAGTGCTCTACCTGGTTAGACCTGGGACTCAGGGCACCCCTCTGATGGGGGCAATGATGTTCTAGAGGCTGTTGGGGAGACGTGGGGGAACAATAGGGCCCAGCGCTCAGAGCACCTGAGGGAGTGGTATTTGAGCTGAGACCTGAATGACAAGAGAGGCGGGCCTGTGAGGCACCCCAGGCAGAGGGAGCAGAACCATGGGACCCTGAAGCAGAGAAAGACCCCGGGTCTAGGGCAGTTTGGGGCAAGTGGAAGGTGACCAGCGAGAGTCAAGAGCCTAGTGGAACCCTGTGGACAACGGAAGGGACTGGGCTTTACACCAGCCCTGGATCTCCTGCTCCTTCGCCATTCCACTCCCCGCCACCCGTGGGTGTGGCTGGTGCCCCACCAGGCCTGACTTCTCTCTCTGCAGATGGCGGCTTCCCCGTGCTCACCATCTACCTCCAGGTCTTCCTGTCATCTGCGTCCCTGCGTGAGGGCGAGTGCCAGTGGCCAGGCTGTGCCCGGGTATACTTCTCCTTCATCAACACCTCCTTCCCGGCTTGCAGTTCCCTCAAACCCCGGGAGCTCTGCTTTCCCGAGACAGGCGTCTCCTTCCGCATCAGAGAGAACAGGCCTCCTGGCACCTTCCACCAATTCCGGCTGCTGCCTGTGCAATTCCTCTGCCCCAACATCAGCGTGTCCTATAGGCTCCTAGAAGGTGAGTGCTGGCTTCGGAGGCCCTCCCTCGGCGTCTGCTGTGTGCCAGGCACAGCCCCGCCAGCCCCTGACATGAGCCATCTGGTTTACTCACCACACACCACTCATTCATTCATTTAATATTCCAGAAATATTTCTAGTGTGTCTTTCATGAACCAAGTACTGTTCTAGGGGCTAAGGGTGTGACCATGAACTAAACAAGTCAAAATGCCTGCCTGGAGCCTCCATTCCCTTGGGGCGGTCTCTGGAATGTGCTATTTGGGAAGTAAAGTTCCCAGGATGTGGAGTGGTGGAGACCGCAGTCTTCTGTCTCATGGCTGAGGAAGGGAGTGCTGGAGCAAAGGTGGGAGGGCACCAGGCAAGCTGGGCTAGCCCCGTAAAGATCACTGCGGTGGGACGCCTGGTAGCTGGGGTAGGGAGAGCAGAGGCCCATGAAGACAGAGAAGTTCCTGAGGTTTCCCCTTCAGGGGCTGGGGGAGTCATGGAAGGCTTGTAGGGGGCGGCATGGACAAGCCCTCACTTACCTTTAAAGGATTATTCTGGCTGTCATGCTAGGAATGATTTGGTACAGGGCAGCGTAGCATAGCAGCAAGGAAACAGGAGGCTGGGAAATCCCTGAGCAGCAGGCTGGAAACTGAAAGAAGGGTGAAAGCCACAAGGCAGCAAGGAGCAGGTGCCTTCCGGGCATATATTGAAAGAAGATCCAGCAGGATTTCTCGATGTTTTGGCTGTGGGTGTTGAGGGAAAGAGGGGATCCCGTGTGGTTCCAGGATTCTGCCTCAGCAGCTACAAGAGCAGCCGACCTGGCCACACGATGGCCGTGGGAAGACCGGCCAAGGGCGGGCCAGGGGGTGAAGCCCAGTGGAGGTGAGAGAAGGCACCTGAGCAGCCCCATGACAGGAGGCGCCCCTGAAATACTCAGAAGCAAAGAACTAGAACAGAGAAGGTAGGCTGCAGTGGAACCTGGATTCACACCAAGTTTATTGCACACACACATGGTAATGACATCGAAGAAAATCTCAATGAAGTAAGAAAAGGAGCCATGCACTCCCCCAGCATCCTCACCTTTGCCCTGCAGCAGGGATACATGTCTTTGGGCAAGATTGTTAGCCAAACGTCAGGTTCAGCAGGCTGCCCTTCCTCAAGAAGATTACCTCATTAAATTTGGTTGGGCATGGTTTTGTAACCATAAACAACAGAGAGAAACATTATATGATAAGAATTTCCCATAGGTAATCCACACGTAATACGTGGCTCTGAGGGAGGGACGTTTGCCTTCTCCCACAGTTGGCTGTGGGGGACGGTCAGTGTTGACCTTCAAGCCGTCAACATTCCCCTTTTCTGAGTTATTCCTGGAGGATGAATTTCAGGGCAGGCTTGGGTTGAAAAGTGTGCTATTGTCACTGGTCCTCCCCTCAGCAGGTTGTGAGAAGATACACCAGTCACTGCCCAAACCACAGGGCCTGGTGAGGAGCAGGCCTGTTAGCCTTCATCTAGCCCATCTTCTGGTGAGGAAACAGGCACAGAGAGGTGGGACAACCAGTCTGGGACAGCACAGCCGGGAATTGTAAAGCAGGGGTGCAAAGAAGGCAGTTGGAAATATTTGTGTGTTAACTTCAGATTACCCACTAAATGCCCACCATGTTTGTTTTCAAATGGTGGAATAGTGGCCTTATTTCTCACATTCTCTAAAATGAGCATATATTATTTCCATAATTTTAAAATTGCCTGTTTTTTTCAAAAGCCAACCAATGCTGGGGGCTGGATCTCTGGGCCTGCAGCCTGGTTGAGCTGGTGTTCAGGCCCTCCCACCCCACCCATCCCCACCAAGAGAGGCAAGGTTAGGGAAGAGATGGGAGCAGCCCTCCCTAGGTCATCAGAGTGAGGACATGAGGCACACCTTCTGGTTCCCTGAGCTTCCCGCATCAGCACTAGTGAAACTGGGAGGCCCAGGTAAGCTCATTAGTGCACAGCCATCACTGCCAACCAATGCTTGGAGCTCTGTGCCCCCTCCCCTTCCAATTTGGAGCCAAGGAAGAGCTCGGCAGGGCCATCCTACTCCCCAACTCTGACCTGCCAGAGGCCATCCTCCCCTGCAGCCACTCCTGGCGGGCCCCTTGAAAAAGACAGCTCACCCTGCTCCCTGGCGCGGGAGTCACACTGGGGTTCCTGGTCTGCTTGGTGTGTAGGTGAGAATCTGCCCTTCCGCTGCGCCCCGGACAGCCTGGAGGTGAGCACACGCTGGGCCCTGGACCGCGAGCTGCGGGAGAAATACGAGCTGGTGGCCGCGTGCACAGTGCACGTCGGTGCGCACAAGGAGCAGGTGGTGATGGTGCCCTTCCCTGTGACCGTGTACGATGAGGACGACTCGGCGCCCACCTTCCTCGGCGGCTTGGACACCGCCAGCGCTGTGGTGGAGTTCAAGAGGAAGGAGGTGCCTGTTTACCACCGCTGTGCTTGTCTGTTTTCTGTTGTCTGTCTGTTGTGTGTCTGCCACTCTGGCCACCATTTATTCCTTGGTCTACCCAGCTGTCCATCTAGCCATCCGGCCATACAGTTGAACATCCCTCCAGCCATTTGTCTTTCATTTGTCTGCCCAGCTATGTGTTGGGGCTGTCTGTCTGTCTCCAGGGTAGCTGAGGAGGAGAGGGGAGGTCAGTCCAGCTGGCCCCTGACAAGTGTCCGGGGACCCTGGATGCCTAGCACGTGTCTGACCAGGCTGGCAAGGCCAAGGACGTGCATCAGGTTCCAGGGCACACCTGCCGCTGCGTGTGGGTACAGCGGTGCTGCCCCCAGGAGGGGACAGCTTCCAGGAGAGCCCTCCCTCCCTCTGCTGTCAGCGTTCACATTAGAGTCCAGAGACTCAGGGAAGGTGGAGGCCGGCCGCCGCGCAGTGGCTTCCGCTGGGATCGTCCAGCACAGCCCCGCCCACCTCGGCCCACCCCCGGCTCTGGTCCGCGTAGGTGGAGCGTGACTGCCACCTGCTGGGCCTTGGGCCGTCCTGCAGCCCGCCGGCCAGGGGTGCAACGGCAGATACGTGGTTTTACCTGGGTCTCTGGACACCCCAGGTGCTAGTTTGGTGGATGGGTGGGCAGGAGGAAAGCACATCTCATTGGTAAAGATCGCATAAGCTAGAAAGGGCTACCTCGGGATGGCAACAAGGAGTCTGGTCCATGACAAAAGCAGAGATGCCCTGTGACTGCTCAGAACTTTCCTCGTGATCCCCTCCAGCCTGGTATACAGGTGTTTGGAGAATGTTCTGGTGGACACCAAGGCTTGGATCTGGCTTTGCCATCTATCACTATGTGACAGTGAGCTGAGTCGACCCTGTGGGGCCCAGCTTGCTGTTCTCTGTGGGACCTGGTGAAGCACATCAGCCGAGCCCCTGGTCATCTGCTTTAATCCATCCTTACAGAAAGCGTGTAGGTGCTTATCATACCTGAGGCACAGGGGAGGCTCAGGGGTGGCCCAGGGAGGGCAACTGGGCCAGACTGGCATGGGATCCCACAGGAACTCTAACATAGGCCAGTCTGTCCCTGGAGCCGGCTCTGACTGTACACCCTCGGTCCACCTGTGGGGCGGGTGTTCTCCTGAGGTCCCAGCCTGCAGGGTCTCTGCAGAGTCCCTCTCACCAATTCTGACTGGCACCCACTGTTTTCCTCAGGGCACCGTGGTGGCCACAATACGTGTCTTCGACGCAGACGTGGTGCCGGCCTCTGGGGAGCTGCTGAGGCGGTACACAAGCACACTACTGCCAGGGGACACCTGGGCCCTGCAGACTTTCCGCGTCGAGCACTCACCCAACGAGACCTTGGCCCAGGCTAATGGCAGCTTCGTGCGGGCAACTGTGCATGACTACAGTAAGAGGGGCTGGGCCTGGCCTGGCTGGGCCCCCTAGGGAGCCGGCAGCCCACTCCTCTCGTAACACCCTACACCCACAGACACTTGCCCCGGCGTTCCAAGCCCCAGGCCGCAGAGGCTTCCACTCCACCCAACCCTTCCTTGTCTCTAATGGGCTCACCTTGGTGGGTTTTTATAGGGTTTTTTCTTTCCCTGAACTGCCTCCCAGCAGACCTTGGTAGGGCCGTACCACACTTCCCATGCTGACTATGCCAGGGCTCAGTGCCCACTACAAACACAGACGTCATTGCCTAAGGCCTTCTTCTGGTCTCTGCTTTGCAATCCCCGAGGGACCCAAGTGCCTGGGGATTATTTCTCCCTTGTCCCCACAGCCCTCTACGAACAGGGGTTAGTATACACCAGCAGCTCTGTGTGTTTGAGCCAGAGGATTCTGCACAGATTGTCCTGTCTGGCTTTTGGAATGTACCGCAGGACTGAGCTCCAGGGGCCCACTGTGCTCACCTGCGGGATGGGGCACCTTCATCAGCTGCCTTGCCTCCCCTACCCTAGTGCCCATGTTTTCTGGGATCCCCTTCCAAATACCTGGCTGGCACTTGAATCCTTGATTTGGGATCTGCTTCTGAGGGATTCCAGAATCGCTGGTACTGTTACCCCTTTCTGCCTGGATCGATCCTGTTTGTTTCTCATCCTCCCCACCTCCACTGAGGCTTTGAGGGTCTCCTGCCCTGTATAAGAGAAAATGTCATCTCTGCCAGGCACTCTCATTCCATACACCACGTGTACCCAAACCTCCTCATGCCTGTCCTTCCATCTCTGCAAAACTAGAACCATAGCACAACACACAGCAGGTACAGAGGTGGGCAGGCTCTGGGCACTGGGGGTCTGTGCAGTCCAGGGCTACACTGGAGGCTGTGACTGTTGGGATAGTTCTCTGGGGGAGTGGAGGCCAGCATAGTCTTCCCGAGGCCTCAGTGATGATAGATCTTTATCTCATGTATACGCACATACATACCACCCACACACACACACACACACACCATACACACAGGTGATCTCCCAGCTGAGAAGGCTTCTCTTGGCATCCAGCTCAGCACAGCAGCCAACATTTAAACAGTGGTTCCAACTCAGCCCCACCTGTCAAGTCTGTGGTCCACATGGCCCAAGTGTGAAGTCTGTGTTTGCACACGTGTGTGTTTGTGCCAGATGTGTGGCTGGGAGGAGGCACGCAGCGGCTTGGGGCAGTGGTCCCAGGCCCCTAAGCGACGAAGCAGTCATCACCATGTCCCCCCTCCCCCACAGGGCTGGTTCTCAACCGGAGCCTCCCCATCTCGGAGAGCCGCTGCCTGCAGCTGGCTGTGCTGGTCAATGACTCGGACTTCCAGGGCCCCGGCGAGGGCGTCCTCCGCCTCCATTTCAACGTGACCGTGCTGCCTGTCAGCCTGCACTTACCCAGCGCCTACTCCTTCACTATGAGCAGGCGGGCCCGCCGCTTTGCCCAGGTGAGCTCACAACCCAATGCCTGCCTGGCAGGGGGCACGGAGGGGTGGAGGACCCCCAGGGTGGGGCACTCCATTTAACAGATTGCAAGCAGGGCTGGGGATGAGAGACACTCCTTCTGGCCTAAACAGTACGCGGAGCGGCCCGGGGGAGCCACAGGCACAGGGCCAGGGAAGCTGGGGCCATGGCGAAGCTGGCAGAGTCATGGGCAGGGTTGGTGGGCTCCATGGGCCTCTCATTTGCCCTTTGCTTTCTTGGTATCTTTAAAGCGTGTTTCATCCTAACATAAGAGCAGTGCCAGTTAAGTCTACATATGGGGACCTAGAAAGATGTTCCTGATGGATTGTTAAGTGAAAAGTTGTTTGTAAAAACACTGGCCTCATGCAGCTCCCTGTGTTCGAAAACAACTTTTCGGTGACGGAATATTGAAGTATGTAAATGCGGGCATCAGTCAGTAGTGGCGCCCTCTGTGGGGAAAGGTGGGGAACGCTTCCTCTTTGCCTTCTGTAAGTGCATTTACTAGAGCTTATCTTGGCGTCTGTTGTTGGTAAATAACAATTAGAAGTGGAAAATAAGTATTAGAAGTGGAAAAAACGTGAAGTAGTAAGTATTAGCAGAGAGGACTGATTCTTCTTGCCATATCAACTAGCGCTTAGCATTTTGGTAGTTTTTTCTAGAACACTTAAGGACTTTTGTGATTTTATTTGGAATTGCGGCATGCATTGGGCTTCACATACTGCTTGTTCCAATAGGGCAGCTTCAGGTACGTCCTCTTCAGAAGGTCACACTTAGGGCCTTCTCCATTTGTCCCAGTTCCTGTGTTTGGTTCCCATGCCCCCTCCACTCCTGACAGCCACCCAGGTCCCGCACACAAAGGACCCCACCCTTGGACACATCGAAGCTCCCTGACCTGCCACAAAAGGTCTTTCATGGAGGTAGAGGCCAAGGATGGTGGGAGGTGACAAGGCAGAGGGGCCCTAAGGGTGTCCAAGGGGGTATTGAATGGGAGCAAACACTGCAGGTGTGTCACCTGTACCCCAAAACACTCAAAAGATCACAGGGACCTGAGTCCCCAATCCAGCCTCAGACTTGCTGTGACCTTTCACCCCCGCTCCCCAGTCTTCATAACTGCAAATTGAGGATAGTGACCTTGGGCAGTTTGGAGGCACCTATGGGAGAGTGGAAGCAAGCAGGCTTTATATGGGGATGTGCTGGGACATCCGGGAGGTGGTTTGGTTGTGTGTCAGGCCTGGGTGTGGAGGAGCCTGGCTCTGCTCTCGGCCTGAGCAAGGCTGAGCAAGGCCCCGGCTACGGGGCCTCACCTGCCCCACCCCTGCCCTCTGCCCGCCCACAACTTGACTAGTCAGATTTTCTGGCTTCAAGCCACCGACACTCTCATTCTAACTCAAGTAGCCAAAGGATAAAAAGGAGAGTTCCACCTGCCCAGTTCCGGGCCCCAGCAATGGCACGGCCAACCTGGCATCCCCCAGAGAAGCATCCTGTCTTTCCCAGGGCTCCCAGCAAGACTCCCAGGCAGGCCCCTTGGGGCTCAGGTGGGACAGGCAGCAATGCTGCATGAAATCACTTGGCCCCAGTGCAAAGCTCTGCCTGCCCGGGCAGGGATTCTAGGCAGGGTGTGGGGTACCCAGCCCCGTGCACTGAGGATGGCAACTGGTGGTCCCCAGAATAATACTGGCCTGGCCAGAGGCAGCGAGGGAAGTGAGCAGGAGGGACCGAATGGGTCTTCCTGCCTAAACGAGTGAGTGAGTGAAAAATGAGCTGGGGATGTAGGCTCCTCTCAAAGTGGTCACTAGACCCAAACTTGGTGCCCTGTGTTCTTTTGCCTCTGGCTCCCAGGAGCTGGGGTGGGTGGTGGTATGATGGGCAGGGCAGGGCCCAGCAGGGGAAAGGATCTGCAGGTTCCAGGGATGTGGAAGACCAGGACTTGGTGGTGGGGGGCGGGGGGAGGTCTGTCATCCCTGGACCCAGTAGGGAGCTGCTCCAGGACTCGGACTACCCAGAAACCCTGCCAGCCCCCATCACAGGCGGGAGCAGCACCCGGCTGAGGCGTTCCCTGTGCCCCGTGCCTAGATTGGGAAAGTCTGCGTGGACAACTGCCAGGAGTTCAGCGGCATCCACGTGCAGTACAAGCTGCAGCTCTCCAGCGCCAACTGCAGCGTCCTGGGGGTGGTCACCTCCGCTGAGGACACCACGGGAACCCTGTTCGTGAATGACACGGAAGCCCTTCAGCGGCCTGATTGCTCTCAACTCCAGTACACAGTGGTGGCCGCCGACCGGCCAAGCCGCAGGCAGACCCAGGCCCCGCTGGTCGTCACCGTGGAGGGGACATGTGAGTGCCAGGGTGGAGGGTCAGGACAGGCAGGGTGTGGCTGAGCCATGGGCTTCCCCCACACAGAAGGGGCTGCACCCTGCTCCCTTCACCGCGTGGCAGCGTCCCTGAGCCTGAGTCTCCTTCCCTGTCAAGTGAGAATCGCAGTGCACCCTGCATAGCCGGGCTGGGAGGGTGACGAGGAGAAAGTTTAAAGCAGCATAGCCCAAAGGGACCACATAGTCAATGGTCACTACTCCCCACCACCGCTGTCGATCCATTCTGTACGCTCACCTGCTTTAGGGCTGCCAGAGAAAATACGAGATCTTGGCTAAATTTAAACTTCAGGTAAGCAACAAGCAACTTTGTGCTCTAAGTATGTCCCACGTAGCCTTTGCAGTCTCTTAGAAGACAATCTTCCACGGGTGTCCATGCAGTGTTAGGGACACAGTCACATAAAGCAAGTATTCACTGTTTACCTGAAATGCAGGTTTAACTGGGCCTGTGTGTTTTGGGCTGAGTCTAGGCACTAGCCTGCTCATATCCTCCTTCCACACTTACCCCAGCCAAGTAGTGCCCCCCTTGCTGTGACTGCGGTGACAGCCCTCTTCCTTAGTGGGTCACATCACTGCCCCATGCCCTGGTGCTCAGGCACCCCCACCCCTCTGGGCTCACCCAGGAGAGGAGCTTGGCCAGTGCTTCCCTCTGCCCCCGGACGCTGGCGGGACACGAGGTCCACGCCAGCCCCTGTAACCAGCTTTCTGCCATCCGCAGATGTGGCCGAGGAACCAGGCTGCCCCCTGTCCTGTGCAGTCAGCAAGAGGCGGCCTGAGTGTGAGGAGTGTGGCGGCCTGGGCTCTCTGATGGGCAGGTGCGAGTGGAGACAGGGAGACGGCAAAGGTAGGCCTCACGCAGAGCCATGGGCCGGCAGCCAGGCAGTCGAGAGGGGTAATGGTGGCTGAGTGGAAACGGGGTCCTTGTGGGCCCTGCCGGCCACAGTGATGGCCCTCCGCTCTCCACATCTGTTGTCCAGAGCCTGGTCCTCCTCTGTAGTACCTGATGTTGAGAGAGCCTGCGCGAGGGTGCAGAGTAGGGGAAGCACGAGGACGCTCAGGCTCTTTGTCACTGTGGGACCACAGGTCCCTTCGGGTTTTGGGAATCCCTGGGCCAAAGTTGGGGTGTGCAAGGAAAAGAGAGGCTCTACGTGGGAGGTCCCAGGCCAGGACATGTGGCCCCAGACATCAGGGCTGGGGCGTAGACAGTAGCAAGTCCAAGCTGTGCCTACCGCAAGGATCCCACTCATGGATTCTCAGCTCGGGCCTCAGTTTGCTCCTCCGGAGGGGGCCAGGATTGGCCGGGGAGGCCCCGGAGTGCCGCCCTTCTGGCTCTGGCCATCTGACCAGGGCGGTGCTCCTGCGTGGCAGTGACTGGCCTGCTGTGTGTTCCAGGAATCACCAGGAACTTCTCCACCTGCTCCCCCAGCGTCAAGACCTGCCCCGACGGCCACTGTGATGCTGTGGAGAGCAGAAACGTCAACATCTGTCCCCAGGACTGCCTCCGTAAGCAACCACTGGGCTTGCAAGTTCAAGAGCCGGACGTGGGTAGGCGGAGCCAGTGGGGGAGGCTTGGACCCCCACCTGCACTTCAGCCAGACCAGCATCATTCCCGAGTTTTATGTGCAGAGACTTTTTTCTAACATTTCGTTTGAACAAAGGGTTCTGCCACATCCAAACTGTGGAGACTGGTACCCTGACCCACTGTCCCGTGTCTCCCTGGCCAACTCACACAGCACATCTCCCAAGCCCTGATTCTCCTGGCTCCCTGCTGCCCTTTCTCTGCTCTGTGAAGTAACCATGTGTGAACCTTGGCAAGGGCCCTGCACAGCTTGTGTGTTCCTCCTCTTACCTGCTGAGGCCAGGGACCTGATTCAGGGCAGACTGTGCTGATTCCTGCCCAAGCAACCCAGATTCCAGAGCTCACTGCCCTCCCTGGGCCTGAGCATGCTGACATCCTGTGGGGAGGGACCTCTCATGCTTCTACCTGGGTGGTCCTGGTTTGTGTGGTCACACCAGGAGGCTTAGTGGGCTGCCTCTGTCCCCAGGGGGCGGCAGCATCATTGGTGGGCACGAGCCAGGGGAGCGCTGGGGGATAAAAGCTGGCTTCGGTATCTGCAACTGTTTCCCCGAAGAGAAGAAGTGCTTCTGTGAACCTGAAGACAGCCAGGGTGAGTCGGTGGGGGGCACTGCTGGGGTCACAGGCAGAGAAGGTCTCCCCACACCTCTCTGAGCCCCAGTGAGTGAAGGAAGGCAGGTAAAACCCAGGAGACCCTCTTCCTTTCCTCTGGGCCTCAGTTCCTCAATCTGTGCAGACAGGTCTAGGTCAGAGCCTCCACAGAGCTACTTCCTGCCCAAAGTTCTATGAGAAAGATTGGGCTGGAAAGTTCTTCCGCCAAATAACTCAGCAGCAACTCAGATGGTCCCAGTGCAGGGCCTTCTCTGGGCCCATGGCAGTGCCTGGCGGGAACCCCGCCCTCCCAGCCAGAGCCTGCGGGTGTGCCTTCTGGGCCAGCAGGTGCCAAGGGCAAGGGCCTGTGCACCCGGGGAGATTTCCTGCCTGAGCCCAAGGATGGTTCTCACGTATTTGAGCGATTGCTGCATGACACTAGGTCCAGAGTCACTTTCCTTCCCTCTCCCAGTTTTATGAAGAAAACACAAAACACATGGAGCACATGGGGGGACTCTGCCTCCCCGCCAGCACTCAAGGGCCAGCTGGCTTCGGTGCAGCGTTCCACAGCTGGTGTTTCCCAGACGCACACTGCCTCTGCTGTGTGACCTCAGGCCAGCTGCTTAAACTTTCTGGGTCTCTTGGCCCTTGTGGAGGAGGCTGACCACAGACTCTGTAGCGAAAACCCTCGGCACAGTCCCTGCCAAACGGTGGGTGCCATGTGAGTGTGTGCATTGCTCTCACATCCCACCGCCCACAGCACTTGCTGGCGGCTCAGTCTGCCACGGCAGACCCCCAGCAGTGGGCACCAGGGCACCCTCCCAGGAGTGCCGTTCCTCACAGCCACCCCTGCCTCACGCAGACCCACTGTGTGACGAGCTGTGCCGCACGGTGATCGCGGCAGCCGTGCTCTTCTCCTTCATTGTCTCCATGCTGCTCTCCACCTTCTGCATCCATCGCTACCACAAGAATGCCCACAAGCCACCCATCGCCTCTGCCGAGATGACCTTCCGCCGGCCGGCCCAGGCCTTCCCGGTCAGCTACTCCTCATCAGGCGCCCGCCGGCCCTCCCTGGACTCGATGGAGAACCAGGTCTCTGTGGACGCCTTTAAGATCCCGGTGAGGCTCCAAGCAGGGCCTGGGCCTGGGAGGCAGCTCTCCTGGAGGCCCTGCGGGGGCGCCGGCCTCTGGCCTGAGGAAGCAAGGAGGTGTGGGGAGGGGCACCCAGGGCTCGGGGTGCTGAGTGTCGTGTAATCCACAAGCAGCTTGTGCACCCTCGCCCACCAGGAAGACGCTCTGAGCAGCCCTTCCAGGGAAGGTGGGCGGGCAGAAGGCTTTCCGGGGCCCCGGGCAGTTCAGCAGAGTGGAGAGTGCCAGGGGCTGACTCAGCTGGACTGAGATTTGGGAGGGTGGGCTGCGCCATACCTGATAGGGAACCGTACTGTGGAAGCCCCAAGGATGGGAGGAGGCCCTGAGGAAGACTGGATTTTATTCTCAGAGGAGGGGGCCCCGGGTCTTGGGGGTTCAGCAGAGGAGGTCCCTATTCGGCTTTCGTTCCTGCAGGCTGCTCTGTTGGGGAGTCTCTGGGGTGTGTACAAGAGTGGGAGCCCTGTGAGGAGGCACCACTCTCCTCATCCAGGCAGAAGGCAGCGGCAGGCAGGGACTAGGCCAGGGTGGCAGCGGTGGGGAGGGGAGTTCGTTTGCGGAGGGGAGAAAGGGCTACCATGGGGCCCCTGGGCCAGCTGCGGCAGAGGCCAGCCCAGAACATGTAACCAGCCTGCTGACAGAGAGGCCGGCCAGCGCCAGCAGGCTCCTAATCCCCCTTCTCCGTGGGAGGGCCTGGGCCTGCAGTTACCCTATGCTCCTTGGGGCCTCCTGGCTAGGGCTCCCCTCCCTGCACCCTGCTTCTTCTGTGTCCCTGCAGGCAATTGCTAGGGAGTGGGAAGCCATGTTCTAAGAGGGACTTAGAGGAGAGGTTTGTGTGAGCAGAAGCTCCACCTCCAGGGCCTGGCAGGAGCACGGTCCTTTGGCAGGAGCCTCCAACCAAAAAGCTCAGGAGTCACTGGGCCTTTGGCAGTACCCAACCAGGGCTGGGAGGCGGCCACAGTTTGTAGGAGGAGCCACCCAAGGGTGCTCATCCCTTAGGGTCCGTCTGGGCCATGGGAGCCATTCCCTCCCGTGGTAGAACCGCGGCCTCTCTCTGAGCTTTCCTAGTTCCAGTCACTCAGCAGACGGGGTCTGCGACCCCTGTCCTGGGAACCATCTCTGCCTCCGCAGCAGGCCTCTGGGCTGAGCCATTTGATTGCTTTATAGACCCAGGCAGTTTGTGGCGGGGTCCCAGGAAGGGCAGTGCTGGTGGGTGTTCATTCAGGGGGACACGCACTGCCATCGGCCAATGTCACCTTGGACCCTCTGCACAGAGAAGCCAGAGCCCAGCTTGAGGCCCAAGGGCTCCGCCGACTGGCTCTGAGGACGTGCTGCTCAACTGCTTGACCTTAGTTGTCTCTTATATGAAGTGGGGAGAACTTTTCACATCTTTTAAGAAGATCAAATCAGTGCAGTCTGCACAGGCTCAGCGCCGTTTCCACGTGCAGTGAATTCTTTTCCAGGGCAGGATGGAGGTGAGGACGCTAGGGTAACCACGATGATGCTCGAGCCTGAGACATGGTGCTGAGAGGAGGCTGCCTCTGCCCACGAGGAGCACACACACCTGTACTTGGGTGTTGGGAAGCACAGCTGGGATCGTCAGGGGCCATCTGTGTGGGTCAGAGTAGGGGGCTCGGCAGGGGTCATCTGTGTGGGTCAGAGCATCACCCCCAGGCCACCCACATCCAGCTGCAGGGAGAGTTGGGGCAATGGATGCCTGGTGCTAGGATAGGAGGGGAAGTCCCAGGACTTCCCAGGATCTCCAGGACAGGCTTTGGTATCCCCAGTCAAGAGTTCAAGGATGTGGGGCCAGGCTGGGGCCTGGGAAGCTGTCCCAGAGTCATCTCAAGTGGGATTCCAGTGGGAAGGCAGGGTGGGTAGAGGATAGCATGATGGCAAGTGGGTGCGGGTTCGGGGAAACGGCCAGTCCCATGACAGGGCCAGCTCCTTCCACGGGTCAGGAGGGAGGTTCCCAACTACCTCTGTGGTACGTTTTCTGGGGCAGCACATGGGGAAGTCTTGCATCCATAGCTGGGGGTCCTGGGCAGCTTGGGCCTCTGGTGCCAATGGAGTCCTCTTGGGGCTCCTTTGGATCTCTGGGGAGGACAGACTGGGGCCTGGTCTGTAGGACATCAGTGGCTTGTGGGCCTGGTGTCCAAAGCAGAGGCAGCACCAGGAAGCTTGGGCTCAGCGCCCAGGGAAGAGGCCACACTCCCATGTAAACCACACACACACACACACACACACACACACACACACACACACACATACACCGGGGACTAAGTAAGCCCTGAATTCCTTGTTTGAGAGACGAGGACATGGGCCTGGGATGGCTGGGGGCATGTTCAGTAAACCGGGGACAAGCAAGTGTCCAGGTATCCAGTGTCAAGGCCATTCTGTGGCAACAGCTATCTTCCCATAAGGTGCAGGGTCCTGCCCTCGGTGCAGGGGCATGCCCGTTGCCCACTAGGTCGGTGGCAGTGGTTTGCACATTGGAGCTTGTCCACTGGGGGCTCATTGATGGCTCTTGTCATCTTCTTTTCCTCTTACCCTCACCAACTTTCTCCCTTCTCCTCTTCTTTCCCTTCCTTCAACCGCGCATAGGAGGATCCAAAGTGGGAATTCCCTCGGAAGAACTTGGTTCTTGGAAAAACTCTGGGAGAAGGCGAATTTGGAAAAGTGGTTAAGGCAACAGCCTTCCGGCTTAAAGGCAAAGCGGGGTACACGACTGTGGCTGTGAAGATGCTGAAAGGTACCTGTCCAGGCAGTGTGCACAGGTGGCTCTCTAGGAGCCCTGAGGGCTGGATGGAGCCACCCTGAAAACCAGAGTGCTCGCAGCCAGCCTAGGGCTTTCTAAAGAGCCCCCCCACCATTCCTATTCTTGAGTGGCTGCATTCGGGAGACCCCTGCCATGGATTACATGGGCCAGGGTGGTCCCTGGAGAAAAAGGGCAAAAGGACTTTCTTCAGTTGGAAGGTTCTAGAGTGGTGCTGCTTCTGCACCAATGTTGGGTAAAGATCGGAGTTTTTAAAAAAATTAAAACCCCTTTTGGTCTTGAACTGACAGCTCTCCCACCCTAGTCTGCCCCACTCATTCCTCTCAGCCAAGTGCCTGTGGGGTCCTGGTGAGGAAGCCACCGTAAGGACTGGCCCCTGTCCCTGGCGGCCTTGCCTGGCCCAATCCCTGGCAGCCCCCAGTGGGTCTGCCCCACCTCTGTGACAAGTCGTGCCACAATTCTGGCCCTAAATGAGCACATAATCACCCACACACATATTGTCACTGGTGTTTCTGAGCAGAGACTGGGTGGACGGCCCTCTGCCGTGGCCAGACCCTGGTTCACATGGACCAAGGGCCCAGTGGCCATGCAGTGGGCGCAAGTCGGCCAGTGCAACACTCTGGGCTATACTGTGCAGGGTGCTTCTGATGCTGACCTAGTCTGTCAGAATGGGGTCTCTGCATCCCCCCTGAGGTGCCAGGCACTAAGGGGGTCCACTGAGACCATCCTCCAGGCCACTATATGTGGGTCCCTACACCCTCTCCCCAAGCTGTCCTCTCTCTTCCAGAGAAGCATGTGGTCAGAGGAGGTGATGAGGTACTGCTCAGCAGTGGGCTGTGGGGCAGCTGCCCTAGGAGGCCTATGCAGCCCCCGCTTCTGGCTGCATACCCCTCCCGTCAGGCTTCAGCTCCTGGTGGATGCCCAGGCACAGCTCTGTTCCCGCCCACCCCAGGATGCATGTGTTCAGCATGGCAAGAGGCCACCTCTGTGAAGTCCTATCATTCCCAGCTTTCTCCAGAGCCTCACCCGCCTGTTGAGTGCTTAGTCAGCAAGGGTTTTAGGACATGAGATAGCCCTCTTACCTTCCAGAAGGTAAGAGATGGCAATTGCAGAGAAATACTACCACATACATACACAGTCTGGTCCCACGAGGGTTTTTGTGGAAAGACCCTACTGATGTGGAAGTTGCCTGCTGGGGGTTATTATTCCTTGGGGGCAGATGAGGCTGCTGTTGACTATCCTACAGGCTAAGAGACGCCCCAAGCAGCAGGGTCCTTGGGGACCTTGTCTAAACCTGGGTAGGCTATCTAGGAAGGAGATAACCAGGGTCTGTGCAGACCTACCTTGTGGGTCCAGTGACCCAGACTGTTCACAGAAGGGGCTTCTAGAAGGGATTGCTGTTCAACTCGCTGTGTTTATGTGCATTTCAGAGAACGCCTCCCCAAGTGAGCTGCGGGACCTGCTGTCAGAGTTCAACCTCCTGAAGCAGGTCAACCACCCGCATGTCATCAAGCTGTATGGGGCCTGCAGCCAGGATGGTAAGGCCAGCCAAAGGACAGGCAGCTACCCAGTGCAGGCCGGGGGTTCTGGGCTCCTTTACTCCTCCTCCTTCCCCTTCCGTGTCCTCTGTGGCTCTGGCCCCCACCTGGAGCATGTCTCCTCCCGTGTTGGTGAAAGGACCAGGAAGGGCTGCTGCAGGAGCGCTGGTGTGAGGCCTCCACTCTGAGCGTGCTCCCTGGGCGGGCTGCAGCTGCTCTGAGGTCTCTGGTGGCATCCTGGTTTGTCAGGACCCTATTCCAGGTGGAGCCCAGGGCAGGGAGCTCTAGAAACAGGTGATACGTCCTGGGCACCTCCTGGGGACTAGGTGTGCCATGACCTCCAAGTGACCACTGCCCCAACCATGGATGGTGAAGGCACTGTCACCTTTTCTCACATAAGGACACAGGAGATTGGCCTGGTCTGTGCAACACAAGGGCCTCTCACCGTTATGTGTGCATAGATGTGCGTGCCGCGGGTACGAGAGGACAGGTGCACCAGGGAGAGGGCAGCAAGGACACTGGTCAGCACCAGCAGGACTCCAGGCTGGGCCTGGGACAAGACGGCAGCTTCAGAGATGCTGAGGGCTGGGAGCAGGGAGGAAGCATTATGTGAGGCTTCTCATCATCCGCCTGCATCAGCCATCCCCAGCCCGAGCTGCAGCAGGGCCGAGGGTGTAGAAAGACACGATGTCCGAGCAGCAGGGGCGTGCCTCCCAGGGGAGCGCTGTGTACAGTGGCCGACTGCCCTGGTGGATGTGCTCAACCACCCAGGGAGCCTGCTTTAACACGCGCAGTGCAAGGAGAGCAAGCCATGCACGAGTGAGCTGGGACTGAAACACGTAACTCCCGCTACACGGCGCCCAGGCCACTGGCCAGAGCGGGGCTGTATCCTTCTGCCCACTTCTGGCAGGGTGGAGAGCCCGCCTGAGGACCCTGCAGCCTCCTTCCCTGCTCCCAGAGCTGGCCCGACTTCTGATGGCCCAGGACCCTGCAGACAGCCAGCTCACAGCCCCCTCTCGCCCCCTAGGGCCGCTCTTCCTCATTGTGGAGTACGCCAAGTATGGCTCCCTGCGGGGCTTCCTCCGGGAGAGCCGCAAGGCTGGCCCGGGCGACGTGGGCAGCGGGGGCAGCCGCAGCTCCAGCTACCTGGACAGCCCCGGGGAGCGGGCCCTGACCATGGGCGACCTCATCTCCTTCGCCTGGCAGATCTCTCGGGGGATGCGGTACCTGGCGGAGATGAAGGTGTGTGCCGCGCCCTCCCGGGCCCCCACTGCCTGTGATGGGGGCCCAGGCTACAGGGCTCCCTGCTGTTGTCTTCCTCGCAGCTTGTCCATCGGGACTTGGCAGCCAGAAACGTTCTGGTAGCCGAGGGGCGGAAGATGAAGATTTCAGATTTCGGCCTGTCCCGAGATGTTTATGAAGAGGATTCCTATGTGAAGAGGAGCAAGGTACCAGGTCCCCTGGGGTGGGTGGCCCAGGGCTCCCGGGGAGGGTGGAGGGCAGGCGCCAGGGTTCCCACAATGGGTGGGGCAGAGCCCTTAGAATGCCAGGGGAGTGGAGAGCAGAGTCTTAGCGTTTGAACTTCTAGCCCTCAACTTCAAATTCTTCCCTGATTCCTGGGTCCCCAGAGACCCAGCTCAGGGCTCACCCTGGGTCTGTTTCTTCTCTTCCTAAGGGCCACACCCGACCTTACAGGGCACCCACTGGGGAGCTAGGGCCCCGCAGCCTCTCTTGGTTTTAATCACCACCGCTTTTGAAGGTTACCTAGTGCTGTGGAAATGATAGTTGTCTCCGCAGTGAGACAGGGTCTTGCTTCTACAAGGTGAAATGTCCCCTGTTCCCTCTGTGTAGCTTTAGCTCTTCACTCAGAGGAGACTGAAGTCAATACAGCTGAGCGTGACAGTCATTCTGAGGCAGAAAGGAATGAACCAATTTATGGGTGGGGGTTCCTCTGGGCCGGGGGCCTGGGAACCCCCGACGGGGTGAGTTTGGAAAGCTCATAGGGAGGCCCTGGAGACGGAGTCCAGAAACACGGCATGCAGTTCTCAGACGCTTTCTCCAAACCTCTGAAATAGGTGGACTGGGGCCCTTCTGGGGAAGTGTGCTTCGCTGTGTCATCCAGTTCCCTGTGGCCCTCGTCCTAACCCTCCTAGTTCCACTGCTCTGTCCGTCACTCCCCTGTAGCCTCCTTGTGACAGACAAGACAGAGCCACTCATGGGCCGTTCAAGAGCCACGGCTGACTGGCTTTCAGAACAGACACCGCTCAAAACAACATACAAAAAACCACTTGTGTAGCCCTCAGATCTGCTGTAAGGGGCCCGGAGAAGCCCCACGTCGCCACAGGCTGTGAGGGTGAGGTTTCGTTTCTTCTGGGGTTTCTGTTGCAACGGCATCTCTCAGAACTGCTGAAGGGGAAGTGGAGAGGGGCTGCTTTCCGCCCCGTGCAGGGGTGTGGACAAAGTCTTCCTACTTCCTGCTCTCGGTCCCCTGAGAACAGCCCATGTCATGGAGCAAGGAAGTGCAGGTGTCTACACACGAGGCCCCCTGGAGAGCCCGGGCGGCAGGTAGTGTTGTTACAAACATGTGCCCCAGAAAATCACACTTCATTAAGGATGTAAACGCTAAAGAATGCTTTAAAGAAAAAGAAATTACAGGACATGTTGCATCAAAATGCAATGCACGCATTTTTGGTTGATTTTTGTCCTAAGACTTACCTACTCAAAAACCCTTCCTCGAGTTGTGTTGGAAAGCGTCCATTAGGTGTGGCCCCAGCACCTCTACAGTGGGACACTGTCTCGGAGGATGCTAGCAGGGCTCAGGGACAAAGTGATAGGTTAAAAAAAAAAAAAAAAAAAAAAAAAAGCAGCCCCAAGGCATGAAAACAGATTTCTTCCCTCAGGCCTTCTCGGAAGAGATTTTAGTGTTTTTGTGTGAGAAGTCCCCAAGATGGAAACACTGGAAGTTGTGTTTCCCAAACTCATTCACCCTCAGAAAGGGGGAGATCTTCTGGATGGCGATCTTGGCCCACATGTTGGACATCACCACCCAGGGCAACCTAGAGCCCTCTGGACATGGCCATAGGGAGGCCTGACATGGGCACGGTGGTGATTCCTTCTGTTTCTTCTCACTAAAGATGTGGTGCGTGCAAGGATGCCCTGCGTAGCTATGGGCAGGCCAGCTGACTCCCTCCAGCATCTCAGCCATGCCTGAGAGACCCAGATTAGAATCACAGCCCCTCTGAGGCCGTGCTGCCAATTCTGCATCTGGACGCACTCTGGATGGCATTACTCAGCATCCCTCCAAAGCTGGAAATGCCTGGGACACGGCCTCACCCTCTTCCACACCTCCCACCCCTGGTTCCCAGGGTGTCAGAGTGTTGTTAATGCCTTTCCTTCATTCCCTTTTTAGGGTCGGATTCCAGTCAAATGGATGGCAATCGAATCTCTTTTCGATCACATCTACACCACCCAAAGCGACGTGTAAGTGTGGGTGTTGCCTTCCTGGGGTCGAGGTTACATACACGGTGGTTCTGAGAGTCACGGTGGAATGCATGAGAGCTGAGAGCAGGGAACTGCAAATTCCGCTGATTGCTCCCCTTCCCAGCCCCTCCCTCTCTACTCTGGGCACCTTAGCGCCACCCAGGCCCAGCCAAACAGTTCGCCTCTGGGGACCTGAGCGTGGGCTGGGCTCAGGCAAGTTCCGCTGGGACTGGAAAGGTCCCCACCCACAGGTAGGCTGGCCTTGAGTGAGTTGATAGGCCGGTGTGTCCCTTACTGCTCAAAGATGGGAACCAAAACTTAGCCTTCCAGGTCAAACACAAGACTTGATAGTTTTCAAAAACACAACAGACTCATTTCTGAATGTTGTGCCATCCATAGAAACGCATGTCTTGAATACTGTGGGCTGGGGAAAGGCAGTGCCTGAGCAGTTCTAAACAGCTGTGTTCAGAAGACGTAAAGCCAACTGTAGACTGTTGGAAAATGCAGAGAAAAGGGTAATGAAGCCACTGAAAGTCACTTGGATCCCACCGCCCCTAAGTAACTCCTGCCAGTCCTGGCATACATGGACCTTCTAGTGTTTTCCGTGGTGTGCCGGTATAGGCTTCCTATTGCTCTAAGTGGGCTCATGTGATGATGCTGTTTTGTGATACGATTTTGTTCCCACTTCACAGTAAATTTTCCCTCACAGTTAGATATTTCTCATAGCAGTGCCATTTCTCTTCTAAGATTTTATGAAAGTTTCCAAGCCCACAGGAAATGTGAAGGAATTGTGCGGGCAACCCTGTGTCCCATGGCCTAGGTCTCCATCTCGAGTGCTGCTGTATATGTTCGGCTGCCCTGTGCTGTCTCTGATGGTTTGGCGCGTCACCACAGGGCCAGCCAAGTACCCCTTGTCGGTGCGAGGCCCAAGCCCAGACAGTGGCTTCATGGGGCTTCAGCACTGCAGGCATGAAAGCTGGGTGGTCACATGGCTTCTTCCCCGCCCCACACCTGTCCATGCAGTCAGGCCTTGGCTGGCTCTTTGCCCTGGGGGCTGATTGGGTCAACAGCTGCTGGGAGGAGGGATGTCTGGCCTGCTGAGCCTAGTATGGCCTCTCACCGGTCATCTCGCTTCCCTTAGGTGGTCCTTTGGTGTCCTGCTATGGGAGATCGTGACGCTAGGGGGCAATCCCTACCCCGGGATTCCTCCAGAGCGGCTCTTCAACCTTCTAAAGACAGGCTACCGGATGGAGAGGCCTGACAACTGCAGTGAGGAGATGTGAGCAGGCTTTGCTTTGGCCCATACTCCCTCCCTCCCTGTGCCTGAGCAGCCCTGGGCACAGGGTGAACTGGGTGGTGGATAACAATAGGTCAGAGCACGCAAAGGCAGAAGTCAGAGAATCACCGTTGGGCATGATGGCAGATGCTGGGCACCCTGATTCTGCTGGGGGCTGAGTACGCTTCCTGGGACCAGGGTTGGGGCGGTGGGGAGACATAGAGGATGGAGAGTAGGGCCAATGAGAAGTAGTAGGAAGGATCAAAGTGTTCTTCAGGCCCAGGGAGCAGATTAAGCCCAAGGCCTATCCCCACAGGACTCTTGGGGAGGGGCAGGTAATTCAGAATGACCTTAGGGGGTACGTGTTGGGGAGTGCCCGCATGGAGGCACAGAGGTCAGCAGGGGTCAGGCAAGAAGACCCGGCACTGCCGCCCGAGAGCACCCTCACATACAGTGATTCCAGCAGATGCTTCTCAGAGGACAGGCTGAGAACACATGAGAACGGGGCCATCACAGGCAGAACCGTGCTAGTCCATTCATTCCACAAAATCCGTTGTGCACCTGCCACACGCCTGGCTCGGGGCTAGGTGTGGGAGTGCAGGGGTGAGCAGGTGCCATCCCCCTGGGTGGCCTGAGCTGGTAGCCAGCTGGCCCAGCGCACAGCCACATGGCAGCCCAGGGGCCCAGCAGCTGTGCCAGGGACCCAGGGAAATGCGGAAGTGAGGAAGGCAGCAGACAGAGGTATAATTGGCAGAAGTTTCATTTGTCTGTTTCTATAACCAGTCATATTTCCTAAGAGTTTGAAAGACTGGCATTGCTCCCTCAGCCACCGTAGTGGGTGTGGCATTCTCTCAGCTGTTTATCAAGATCTCTGAAAGGAAAGTGAAGACAAATCTCTCTCAAGGGGAAGGAGGAGACTCAGAAGATGTTGGACCACAGCACTACGCACCCTGAGCGCCTCGTGACCCCTCAGATCCTGGCCCAGCTCAGAGAACAATGTCAGCGAGCAGAGACAGCTTTGGGGTTTGAGAACAGAGCCGTCTGGGCCCAGGGCATGGTGCCAGGTGCAGCGGCTGTGGTTGGGCAGTCCTTGCTGGGTCGTAACTGCCCACCCGTGCTTCCCACCAGGTACGGCCTAATGCTACAGTGCTGGAAGCAGGAACCAGACAAGAGGCCGGTGTTTGCTGACATCAGCAAAGACCTGGAGAAGATGATGGTTAAGAACAGAGTGAGTACCTGAAGCCAATTGCTGGTGTCGGCCATCTGTCGGCTGAACAGGGCAGTGGGGGGACTCCCGCCTCACCCCAGTTCTGTGGAGTTCCCAGTGCAGGGGCAGAGCAGGTCTGCGCAAAGGGAGGTGGTCACGCTGTCTCCTGAGGGCAGCTAGCATCTGAACCCTTCTCCTTGAACCGGGCTCCTTCTCAAATCATAAAGCAACCCAGATTCTTCCCTTTGTACTTCGAAAGTACTCTCCACCAATAGGTTTGAGAGGCAAATCTTCAAGGTCAAAATAATTTTTAGTAACAGAACATGAAAGAGTAGAGTTGAAGTGGGTATCCTAAATTCAAATGCCGCGAGGGGCCCAGTGGGTGGTTGGAATTAGCTAGGGAGTGGTGGGGACTGTGGCATCCAGGAGCACGCCAGCCCCTCTGAAGGACCCCTCACTGTAGTCACACACAGTCTAGAGGAATAGGAGTGTCAGAGTGTCAGGTCTTCTGAATTTTAAAGGATATTTATGTTAAGTTTTCCAATCTCTAATGTTAATAACTCATTTAAATTTCCAAAAGCTCAGTCTAATCCAAATAAAGCATCTCTGGGAGCCTAGATTCAGACCACATACCTCCAGCCTATAACTCTGTAGATAAATGAGAAAGCCAACAAGTTTCAGCTAATATTTATTGAGCAACTGCTATGTGCCATATTCGGTCTCAGATGCTGGGAATACAAGTAAACAAGACAGGCGCAGATCTTGCTTTCAGGGTTTCATCTTCGCACTGACACATTTACTAAACGTTGGCATTTCTTCATACACAAAAACAAAGGTGCATAGTGTGGAATGCTTGTAATAAAACCTAACATCCATGTACATCATCCGTGTACCACTTGGGCCAAGCCTCCAGATCCTGGGAACACAGGGTTCTCTTAAATAAAAATAAGGGGTGATGCCATGAGAACCAGCCTTCCCAGGACAGAACTGAGAAACAGCCAGGAAAATGCTAGAATTGTTCTTGACACATTTAACCAGGGTGGCGGCAGGGGCAGGCACTGGGAAATCATCAGGCTTAGAAGCTGAAGCCCATAGCAGCACCCTATGGCCAGCCCACATCGACAACTTCAGATTTCTGGCCCTGATGTGCTGTTCTAGATGGTAGGGGTCCTCAGAGGCAAGCTGAAAAGTGTCCAGCACATCGGAGATGCTTCCTGGTCCTCCCACATAAGTAACGGGCTGCAGTGAGCTCTCCCGGAGCCTCGGGTTTGGTAAACAGGCCAGTTCTCCCGTGCTGGGTGTGGTACCCCCTTCATGCTGCAGAGGTAGCACTAAGGCAACAAAGGAGTCCATTTCTGCCCTTCAAGAAGGTGAATTTCTAGAGGGAGAAATGTGGCTGTGGAGCAGGGCCAGCAAAGCAGAGGCTGGGAGAGGGGCTGTCTGGCCAGGGCTCAGGTATCGCAGAGAGGCTAGTAAGCCAGCATGGCGTGGGACTCAACCAGGCCTTCTGCCTTTGGGCGGGGAGGGGTTGGGGGCAAGTCCACCTGTAAGTGGGGTGACCGGCTATCTGTCTCTTCCAGGACTACTTGGACTTGGCCGCATCCACCCCATCTGACTCCCTGCTTTACGACGACGGCCTCTCGGAGGAGGAGACGCCCCTGGTGGACTGTAATAGCACTCCCCTCCCTCGAGCCCTCCCCTCCACGTGGATTGAAAACAAACTCTATGGTAGAATTTCACATGCATTTACTAGATTCTAGCAACATCGTTCCTCTCTGCACTATCCTTAACTCTCTGTAATGCTTTTTAAGAGTGTTTCTGGTCTGAATGAAACCAAAGTTCCCTCTGAACCTTTTTATTTGTAAATGTCTGACTTTGCATCCGTTTACATTCAGGCATTTTTGAAACTATGTTTATTTGTTTTTTTTTTTTAAAGGATGTGAAAATAAGTATAATGACCACTACTGCCCAGCCACTTAGGATTATGGAGAAGAAAGAGAGCTGGGCAGAACTCTCAGGGGATATTGAGAAAATGATAAATAAGTCATTTCTGGGGTGGGGAGGTATCAAGTCATAATACTTCTTATTTAACTACTGGGATAAATTTACCCGATGTGGGGAGGCATTTAATTGAGACAGGAGGAACCAATGCCACCCTGACTGCATTGAGGGCACAGGCTGTGGTCCCTCCCAGACCCCACGTGGGCGGGTAGGTGGCTCTCAGAAGCCACTCAGTACTGGGAAGCAGTGGCCAATACGGTCCGAGCCCCGCCCACATGCCCACGGCCAGGGAGGATACGTGCAGACTCCTGTTTTCACATCCTTTGCATCACACACTGTCCTGACAGTTGTCATTTACGAAGTCAGTGCTAAAAGCTGGAGCAAATGCTTTTGAAAGAACGTAGTCTGTGGTGCTGTGGTCTTGCAATGGACAGTAAATACGGTTCTTGCCAAAACTCCTTCTTTTGTCTTTAATTAAATACTTGAAAATTTTTGTGTTTCCTAACTTAATCATTGACTGTTTTTAAATCTGGGAGTTTGAAACATTTTTCGGCTGAGATTGTTCCTTTTGCATGCCTCCTGAGTCACTGATTCCTTGCTGGCTTTGGGTCTAGCGCTACACGCCATTTGTCCTGCCGACGCTGTGGGGCTCGCCCGTGTGCACCCTTGATTTGGAAGAGTCTGTCCTCCGTGGTGGGCTTGGATGGAAGACGAGTAGGCTTCTTACATTAGAGAACTTTTTATAGAAGCTTCCCCACTGCAGTAAGCCCTTTAACTCACCAATGTTTTATGCTGCCTTAGAAAAAAGACTGAAACAGGTCAACAGATATTTATATCAGATTTCGGAGTTCGAAGCTCATAAAAAGGCAAAATTGGCAGTTTCTGTTATGTTCCAGTTACCAAGAGAGCATGTGATCTTTCCCCCAAAAATGTAACCTTGTTTTTGGAAAGCTGGAGCATGAAAACATTCGTGTAATTGGCACAGAAACTAGAAAGTTTGGTTTGAACCTCAAAGGGAGTTTTGCCAAGGCCTTACTGTTTGCACATGAAGTGTTGGTTCTTCAGTGCAGAACAAATGATCTGTTTTCATTTTTAGGCATGTCAGACCCGAACTGGCCTGAAGAGAGTCCTGTACCACTCACGCGAGCTGATGGCACTAACACTGTGTGTCCAAGATATGCAAATGATAGTGTATATGCTAACTGGATGGTTTCACCCTCAGCGGCACAATTAACGGACGCATTTGATAGTTAACATTTCTTTGGGAAAGGTAACGGGCTCCCAAGGGGAAGAAACCTACCGAGAACGGAAAGTCTGCCGGCCCCTCCTTTGTACACTTGACACTGGCTGGTGATTTTCCCTCCTGGCAGACATAGCCACTGGACCCAAGTTGCGAGTCCAGCCTTTTTTTAGTCCTTCCTCTTTGGCCCTCAGCAACACCCTGTGTTGGCCCGTGTTCACCAGGGACAACCACACACTCTGTGCTCACACATGTGGGTCCCTCGCTCACTACCTGAGCTGTCAGATTTTTCTGGTTGCTGCCAAACAGGGCACCAAGGTTTAAACACGAAGCACACACACACCAGAAGGGCAACAGGAAAAATAAATAAATTTTAAAAACCTGACCCAAACGACATGTCCTTGTTCAGAACAAGAGCCCAGCAAGGCCTTAGAGTGAGGTCAAAGTCTCCCCCCCCCACAACACCCTCCAGGGCTGGAGGGGACAAGGGGACCTCGGGAAGGGCCTCCACTCAACGTTTGAGATCTTAAGAATGGTTTTTTAGAATCATGGCACCATTTCTTAGGAAGACATTTGATTTTTATCATGATTTAAATGATTCTTAAATGTAGCACAATGGAGAGATTGGCTGCCATATTTGCGATGTAGAGGGGTGGTGTGAGGGGAGAGGGCTCACCAGACACTTCAGTCCCCATCACTGAGTAATCACTGCCCCCTGACGAGAACGGTATGAAGCAAAGGGGCGTTTGAGTGGCCTCCGGTCGAAGGGATTGCTGACTTGGCCGCAGTGAATTCCACTGCTGCCAGCCTGCCAGCCGTCAGCACACCACACATCTGGTGCCGGAAAGCAGGGGCTCATCTCACACAGCAGGAGTGGGTGGGGCTAGGCTCAGTCTAAAAGGGACCGTCAAGCTAGCTGTGTTAGAAGTAAGGCTGACAATGGCCAAGGACTGCTACACCTCTAATTACAGTTCTGATGTGGAAAAGACAATGTTTTGGCTCTCATAGAGCTTGTGTGAAAAGGTATGTGCATCCACTCTTTTCTGTGTTTGTAACGCGATGCTGCTCTAGCAGGACAGTTCTGTTTACTAGATTCTGATCATGACTCATAAGCTTCTTGTCATTCTTCACGGCTTGTTTGTGGTCACGGACACTCAGCACTCCTCCCATCTTGTGGGGGTGGCTTTCGGGAAGTCCCCAGCAGCTCTTCTGTCTGCAACTTCGCCAGAGAGGCTCGGTGACCAACACCCTGCCTGGTCTTCCGACTTAAAGCCCGGTGAAGACAGTGTCTCATCCAAATACTGTATCTTAGAGGCATTTCACAAAAGCAGTAAAATTAGGGCATTTTTGTAGGTTGGGTGAGTATGTATCAGAGCCTCATGGGTGTGTGTGTGTGTGTGTGTGTGTGTGTGTGTATGAATGTGCACACAAACCCAGAGAGAGAGAGCTGGAAAAACACTTACTGAAGATGTGACCTGGCTTTAGTTGAGGCCGTTTTCCAGACACACTGTGGTAAGTTCTTTCACAAATATCTAGCTGTGGTCAACTTTTGGTTTTCAGATGTGCTTAATGATAGTCTTCTTAAATGCAGAAAAAAGAATAAGCTTTCTCAAATTGTTAAAAATACCTACTCAATAAATGTGAGTTGCCACCGTAGGTTTGTCCTTGGCAGGGTGAGAACTCCAGGTCTAACTGGCTGACCCAGTGATGGGGAACTGACCCTTGACCAGTTATCTAATTGTCTATTCCTGAATTTTAAAAGCACTCCTACTTACTAGTCCTTCCAGACAAGTTTTGTATGCATATACACCAAAGTTACTAAGTATTAAGTATTATGGAGTATTAAGTAGCAGTCTGTCAGTTATTAAAATTTGTAAAATCTATTTATGAAAGGTTATTAAGCCATATCATGTTAATTTGCTTTTGTAATCAAGGTGACTAAGGAAATAATTTCAGTTATACAAATAAAATCATGTATCATAAAAGGCGTAAACTTCTTTTCTCTTTTTAACTCCCTCATTGGAAACATCAGGTTCCTGATTTTGATGTTTCCGTGTAAAGATTGAAATATCACAAGGAAATCTGTTGTTGTCACCCCTGGGGAAGTAACAATGCTCAAAGAACTAGGAGGTGCTCGGTGGTACCTTTGACTTGTTTTACACAATATGTATGTGAATAGGTACATTTGTGTTAACTGTTAAAACTCCCCATATCCCACCCTTCAGGAAACTTCTTCCTTTATGTTTCCTTCCCTGAAATAGAGCAGCAGCCATGTCGTGTTCAGGTATCTGCGGTTCTCTAGCAAATGTGGTTTATTTCTTGAAGCTGGAGTTGGACAGGTGTATGAGAGAGGGTGTAAAATGCATACCCATAGCTGTAGGCCCACTGCAGTCAGAGGAAACATTCTGAGCCACTATGAAGGTTAAAAGACTAAATGCTTCTGTGGAAGTCCTGTTGGGTTAGGCAGGCACTCTCTGAACTCCTCCTCAAATGCCTGGCAGGGAGCCGGTGGGTCAGTTGACAAACACAAGCTGTTACCAACATAAATCTGATTCATGGTTGTGTTGTGTACTAGGTGCCGAGGGCCCGTGTTGTTCCCCGCACACATGTGCATGTGTGAAGACACACACACACACACACACACACACGCATGCATGAGCTGCTCCTGGCCCTAGGAGCTCCAGCTCCTGGCCCTTGGGACCCATTTCTGCTCTTGGTGTCCTCGTTCAATCTGGATCACGGGAACTGGAAGTAAATATAATTTGTAAAGTGGGCTATTTGTTACAGCCTTTTCCTCTGAATGTTTAGAAACCCATGCTGAGAAAAGCTAATACTAAAATACTAAAAGCCCCTTTTACAAGAACTTTGAACTTCCATCAGGAGTGTGTGTGTGTGTGTGTGTGTGTGTGTTTGGTTTATTTGTATTAAAAAGCACATTTCTCCACCAACTTACACACAGGATGCTTTCCCACCATAAGGCCAGCTTATTTTAAGGGTGGAAATTTAGTTGAAGATAATGTCTGAGAACAGGGCATGGACAAATACTTTATATATAAAAGAAAATTCAGAAGAAAAGCATAGGTTTCCCCTATAAATGAAGTATTTGTCCCCCGGTGAATGGTTTCCTCTTCTCCTTTGAGCATATTCACATGTAGGATATTTAGCCGGTAACATTTTAGGGTGGTTCTAGAAGGTGCCTAAGAAACCCTTGGTTCTGTGGCCCCAGAAAGACATAGCATTGATCTGAAGTCCATGTTCAGCAGCAGGGCGGGGCGGCGTGGGGGGGGGGGTTCCTCATCCTTTTGGCATGAAGATACGTGTGGAGCTTATCCACAGCTCTTGCCCTCGTATGAACAGAAAACAGCCCTCTCCGCTGGGACTCTTCTGTTCTCGTCTTTCCTCCACAGGCAGCAGTCTTGATGGCCCCTTTAAAACTGTAGGGATTCATAGGAAGGATTCTTAGCTGACATCACGAAAAATCAGCACCTCCATGTGGAGAATCTTTCCATTTGAAACCCCTCTCCCCATCTGCAGCCAAGGCTGGCTGGGTGGCGGTGTGATGGCAGAGAGAACACGCCTCATGCCCAGGGTTAGGGGGCACTATGAGTGCCCAGAAGAAATCACGGTTTATCTTTGCCACTCAGGTTTTCATGGTTGTGTCAAGCGATGAGATATTTTTGCAGGTGTTTCTGGGATGTGCAAATCACAGGACCTGGCCAACCAACACCTCTCAACCAGAGCCTGGGCCCAGAGAGTGACAGGGAGGCCATGGACAGGAACATGGTGACTACAGGAACATCAGTGTCACAGGGAACCAGCCAGGCAGCATGGAAGGAGTCACAACCTGAGACCACCCCAAGCACTGTGAGTTCAGGAGTTCTATAGTCCACACCAGGAGGCACCATAATCCTGCATCCTTTCAGAGGACACTGAGAAATTCATGTTCAAATTTAGTGTGAACCGGCAAGGTAAGTACCTTCCAAAACTAAAACAATACCCAAAAAATTTTTTTGAAAAGGAAATAATTTTGATATTGCATACACAGACAATATTTACCATGAAAAGGGTCAAGTTCGTGAATAAAAATGTTATGTTCATTTTAAGTGTCCTTGTTTCTGTTTATCTTGGTCAATTTTGTAAGCAGTGCCAGTGTAAGTCATATGCTTTTTGGTTGCTCCTGTTTGTCACCTCTGCCAGTCCTTTTCTGCACATGTCATTCACCCCGTGGAGGAAAGTCATTCCTGTGGGCTGG